GTCCCCGTCTCCCCCTCGCCCCAGGACGCAGCCCACACCCCACGGCTGCTCCTACCTGGCCAGGCACTTCTCCTCGGCCGCGCAGCGCAGCGAGTACAGGTGAGCTCGCTGCACGTAGGTGGACGCTTGCACGTAGTTGGGGTCCGGCACCAAGTCGGGGAGACCTGCCAGGAGGATGGGGACAGCCCTGAGGACGGGGACAGGGCTTGGGGACAAGGCTTGGGGACGCAGCTGTCCCCTCCTTGAAGCAGCCAGCCCCGACCTCGTGGGGAAGGTTTGCTTCCGTGACAGCCACGTTTTTTTAATTTTAAGCTGCAGACGGAAAATCCTCCCTTCCCCTCCCCTTCCCCCCCGGCTCCTGCTGGCAAATCCCAATCCTCCATTTTCCTGCAGCGGGATTACTCAACCCGTCCTCCTGGAAGCGATTACACACAGCCCTGGCCGGCCGCCGTGCCTGGCCACCCTGCGAAGGGTTATTGGGGTCCCCCCGAGTCTCCCAGCTCCCACCCCCGCGGCAGCCAGGGATGAGGGGTGACACGACCCCCAAAAAAGGGGGGTTCCTATTTCCTGCCCTCTTTCCTGTTTTTCACCTCAAAACAGGGGTGAAAGTGGAGGCTCTGCTAACCCCAGGTCCCCGCGCCGTTACGCTTCCTCTCCTTTAATTCCCGACGGTGCCCTGCGCTTGGGGCCAAGCCGAAGTGAGCTGCAGACAGACAGACAGACAGACAGACAGACAGACAGCCGCAGGGACGGGCGGGGGCTGCCTCGCTTTCCAAAAGCATTACGGAGCCCAGCTGGAGCCGGCACTTCCCCCCCCCCCCCCACACCCCAACGCCCTTTCTCACCTCTCCTTCCCAAAGGCTCCTCCGGGACCACCGACCCGGAAAGCATCCTTACATCTGCCCCTCAAGAAGGACCAGGATTGGGAGGGGTTGCTCCCCAGGCGCTCCGTGCCTCAGTTTCCCTTCTCACAGCCCTCTGCAAAGCCAAGCCCTGCTCCGCAACAACCTCTGCTTAGCATCTCTCCTCCCTGCGAGCTCACCAGCCTGTCCCCATCCTCATCCCCGTCCTCATCCCCATCCCCGTCCTCGTCCCCATCCCTATCCTCATCCCCATTCACAGCCCCATCCTCATCTGCAACCCCAGCCCCATCCTCGTCCCCATCTCCCTCCCCATCCTCGTCTTTATTCCCACCCTCATCTCCATCCCCATCTTCATTCCCATTCCCTATCTTCATCCCTCCCCACTTTATTCCCACCCTCATCTCCATCCCCATCTTCATTCCCATCCCTATCTCCTATCTCCGTCCTCGTCCCCGTCCCTATCCTCATCCCCATTCGCAGCCCCATCCTCATCTGCAACTCCAGCCCCATCCTCGTCCCCATCTCCCTCTCCATCCTCGTCTTTATCCCCATCCTCATCACCATC